AGGCTGCTAAGCTTCCTCCTTTTCCCCAAGATAACCAGTTTTTAAGGCACTAAGTCAGAGATAGAAGACTTGGCCCAGTCTTTTCAGCTTTTATTTCCCCAAATCAATCGTGTTCTCAAAAGTTATGGAGGAGGGCTCCCTTTCATAAGAGATTGTTTGGAATTTAGTACGATTAGCTCACCAAGGAGCTATGCTACTTTTACTCGTGGCCTAGTCACTTTCAGAAATCCCAAATCAATCTAAATAGCCGAACATTTAACAGTTAATGGTATGCTTTATTGTTTTCTAAGCTTCAAGAAAGGCAAACAACTTGTTGCCTCAGCTAAGTTGTAAACAATTCAAAAATGGAGAAAGCAGAGGCCATAGCCATCCCATAAATGTTAGCTGCTTGGTTGACTCAAGCAGGTTTCAAAATTCTATTAAATTTAATCATATTGCTCAACATCTTTTGGTCTACAATCTAGTAACACTAATTTATTAATGGTGTACTGTCCACTTTTTTACTCACATTAATCTTTTTCAAATGTCTAATGATTCTAGTCTACCATTGCCTACCTGCCCCACCTCCCCTTAGAAAGGTTATCATACTAAATTGGCCCAAAAAAAAGGGGAGAAAACATTGTGACTGGAAAAATAGGACATTTTATTTTACCAGAGTTTCCAGTATCATATCATCAGAGCTGTAGTTAAAGAATAAGTAGTTAAAATAAATCATTAAGTCCCTGCTGTGTGGAGTAGTCTTGGACTGACGTGGAAATGTTAGCTGGTGTTTCAAGCTACATTATTGATTGGGACCTGCCTCGAAGACTGAAACTTAGTGTTTGCTGCCGGAGTTCTAAAAATAACAATATATAAAACCATGTTCCAAGTCACCATGATGCCAGTGGGTCCAGTGAGAAGCAGAAAGGCAAGCCAAAGTAAAATAAGGAAGGTAGGAATTTGGATTGAGTCCATGACCAATTTAAAATACGCAAGCTTGCCTTTGGAGATAGTGAAATCCTTAGCATCATATTGGAAATATTTTCAGAACACAAGGTAAATGAAATTCTGATTTTAAGTGGACTAAAATAGCAGGAGTACATTGTGGAGTGGAGGCTTCCAGACTTTAGGATTTATGGATCTGTAAATTAAGGAGAATAAATAGTTGGAGAACTATGGGGAGTTGCCAGCTCTTTAATTTTGCTAAGTCTTGCTAGCACTATTCCACTACGATGATTCTCTTGGGCAATAAGTTTCCCACATTAGATCTAAGCCATAACAGAGTTTATTTAAACAAGGAATGAAGAAACATTTCAAAAGATACACAAAGCAAAGTTCATTATCACTGAGTGGAAGTTACTGATTGGCGTCTCCCTCACACAAGAGCCCAGTTCTTTTCAGCCATAAGGCTCCCAGGATCAGCTTCTGCCTGGGGACCTGCAGCCAGCATGAGCAGGAGACTGTGGTGTGGAGAGCCACCTCTGTCACTTACACAGTTCGGTTATAGTATTCCTCTTCTATGCTCAGGCTGGTACTCTTCAGTTGTCTGCAAGCCTTAACTACAAACCATACTCAGATTTCTCCCTAACTTACACTGTGCCCCCTTGAGACTCATACAAGTGCAAGGAACTGTTTCAGCAGAGCTGGTGATATAGTAGATTGTGGTTGCTACCTTTTTTTTTAACTTCTTTTATTATGGAAAATTTCCAGCATATCTTAAAGTATAGCATGTATAATGAACCATTATACACTGTCTCCCAGCTTCAACAATTATGTACTAATGGCCAGTCTTGTTTTTCCTACCCCTCCACCCATTTCCCCAAACCTAGGTAATTGTGAAGCAAATCCCAAATATATCATTTCATTCATATATATATATATCTAAAAGCTATGGACACTTAAAAAAAGTAACTAAAGTATTATTAGCACACTTTAAAATATTAACTTTATATCATCAAATATTTAGTCAATACCTAAATTTATTTTATTGTTTCACAATGTACTTTTATTTATGTACTTATTCATTTACATATTTGTAGATGTATTACAGTTTATTCTATTCAAGGTCCAAAAAGGTCTGACTTTTTTCCACTAGTTTGTCATCATCAGGATTTTCATGATTGCATCCATGTGGTTTTATTTTCATGTTTGTTTCTTGAATTTCCTGTAAATTGAGAATTGATCCTAAGGCTGATCATTTGCAGTTTTTTGTTTTTTCGTTTTTCTCTTTTTGCTGAGGAAGATTCACCCTGAGCTAACATCTGTTGCCAGTCTTCCTCTATTTGTATGTGGGTTGCTGCCACAACATGGCCACTGTCAGTGGTGTAGGTCTGCACCCGGGAACCAAACCCAGGCCACCAAAGCGGAGCGTGCCAAACTTAACCACTAGGCCACGGGGCCAGCCTCTGGATTTTGTTTTTTGGGTTGTTGTTGATTTTTTGCCAAGAACATTTCATAGGTGTCACGTCCTTCCACCAAGAGATACATAATATCTGGTTCTCTCTCTCTTATTTATGCAGTCATGTACCACATATCAAGGACAGACCACATATATGATGGTGGTTCCAAAGATTAGTACCATAGAGCCTAGGTGTGTACTAGGCTATACCACAAAGAGTAAATACACTCAATTATGTTCACACAACCACAAAATCACCTAACAATGCATTTCTCAGAACGTATCCTCGTTATTAAGTGACACATGACTCTGTATATTCTTATGTCAACAGTCATTGAATACTTTGTCTAGAGCCATTATCTCATTGAGAGTGCTTGTATTTTCTTTTCTTTTTACAAAGATGCAAGCAAATATTACCCAAGACCTGGTTCCTGGAGCATTTTTAAGTTTTCATGTTGTTGTCATTAGATAGAGTCATATGCCAATCTCTTTAGGAATTGTCCACTGCTATGTAAAAGTGTGACCTCAAGTCTGTCTCACACACCAAGCAAGGATGAAAAAGAACAAACATCCATCATCTGAAATCATCATTTCATAAAATGAAAGGTTGTTCAACAGCAGAAATAGGAAGAATTTAATTGAAGATTAAAAGACAGAATTTTAAATTAAATACATATATCTTTCTGGAAAATTCGCCACACCATCCTGATTTTTCCCATGCCACCATGGATGGGGACACTGCATTCTGGACTCTAACAAAGGACTAGAGGGAACCATTGTTTAGCACCATAGCATTGGTAAAATCTGCTAGAAGATAATGTGAAAATTTGTCTAGCCAAATTAAAGTGGTAACTCAACTTTATCTTTCAGAGTGTCTTTAATCTGTGATATATTCCAAATCACTATATGCAATAAAAATTATTAAAAGCTAATCTTTAAGTCAAACATGTATTGAGCACTAATTCTTTATCAAGTACTCAATCAGGCACTTGGAATATAAAATACATTATAGTACAAATATAACAAAGATTAATTCAAAATGTGGAGTGGAGACAATGTGATATAACAAAAAGAAATTGAGAACCTGCATTATTAGTTCTTTACCTCTGAGAAGCCTCATGCCCCTGGGCATTTAGTATCCTGTGAATGGGTATGAAAAGGCATATTTGTCTTTCTCACAACCTTACTTTGAAAACTAAGTAAAATAGTGAAAATTATCTGAAGAATCAAAAATAGACTATAAAATATAAGAAACTACATGATAATGTTTAGAACTCAATCTGTGGTGTCTCATAGTGTATACTCTCAGTGTAATAGATAATGTGTTTTTCTTCCTTAAAACTTTCAAAACAGGATTCTTTACACTAATTTATTGACGTTATCTTTGAAAGTATTCCTCGTATCACCATCTGCCCATCTCCTTTTGCTATTAAGGAAACAGTTCTCTGAATGTGAAGTGACTTACGTAACTGGTTAGTGGTGAGCCTTCTGGTCTCTAGTTCTGTGCTCTCCCCACTGCTCCACACTGTCTAACTAAGGTTTCTTTCACATCAGGAACTATAACCATGTGTGTGCATTTTAATCTCCCAGGGCATTAAGGTTTGGTAGGGAAGCAGCCTGGTTTTGGAGAGCAGAGGTGAGCCGGATACAAAGGGCAGGTGGCCACGAGGCTCTCGGGCATTCTCTGTCTGATAATCACTTGTTCTACTTGCCCTTCTGCTCCTAGCCCTGCTGGCCCTTCTCTTCTCCTTTGCCCATTCTAATCCCCATTCTCCTGTCCTCTTGACACCAGCCTGATGAGACTGATCAGTGTTTTGATGGAGGCTTTGTGTGCTGTTGACCTTGACTAATCAATCTGACCTTGTTTTACCAACTCACACTCCTTGAAGTGAAGAAATAACACATTGAAATGCTTGACCTGGGAACTTGAACTCAGTTCAGCTGTTTTAGTTGTGTTTATAGTGTGTTAAAAAATAAATTTGAATGCCTTTATACTAGACCTGCAAGTTCTAATTTGCTATACACTCCACCATTACCTGTTGGATTATACCAGCCTCTTCTACACATTTCTCAGACCTGCCTGGCTCCTGAAAGCATTTGAGTTGGCTACTGGTGGACTAGCATCTTCCTGACAGACTCTGACAGGCAGATCTGGGTTCCTTTGGGTAGAGCACTCTAATTTTCAGCTTGCTATGAGTCTCTCTTAAATCCAAAGCATTGCCTGTAGCATCTCTCTCATTGGTCAGAATTTAGTATTGATGCGGCCAAAATCGTAGTGTTCTGCACTCAATCATGAGTCTTAGGGGGCTCAGGTGACTGTGTAGGTGGATCAGGACAACCCATAGGGGAAAACGGTTCAAAGCAATCTAGTTAAAATGCGTTACTGTGTGTGCTTGAAAATCCTGAAGCAATGATTTGTTATTAGCGCCTTGCTCTTTTGGCAGAAATACCTAAGTTAGCATAAGAACTAGTAATATTTTTTTCAACACTGAAGGGTGCCCTTATCTCATTTGTAAAAGGATTCTCCCGGATGTGGCACTCTCTATAGAAAGTGCAAAGTCATGTGACAGTGTACTTTCCCTTTGCCCTAACATAATTTTCACTCAAATCCTCTTCAATACAGGTTGCCAACTTGGCCTGTTCCATCTCCAACAATGAGGAAGGGGTCAAATTAGTCCGGATGGCGGCCACCCAGATTGACAGCCTGTGTCCCCAGGTAAGCCTCATTTACTTTGTTTCAAGAGCCCATAGTGACCTGAGATTCAGGACCTTCCATGCTCCAGCCCTCATGTCACTCCTTTCCTTGCCCTCTTTCCTCTCACTGGAAAGTGCTACCCATCATTCGTGGGCTGTTTCAAGTTCTACCTTTCTCAAAAAGAATTTCTAACTATTCCAGCCTCTTCAGAATTACTGTGGCAATTCTTGTCTTTTCCACTCATACTGACTTTGTTCTATTTGTTTGGGTTATTTAAACATCCATATCTATTTACTTTGTCTCAACAATTAATTATAAGCTTGCACATGCAGAACAAGAGTTATATTTTTGCCACATTTGTCCTAAGTAAATATGACTTGTCCAATAAACACTTTCTAAAACCTGAGGCTAATTACTATATCTTAAAAAAAGAAAACAAACAAAAAAAACAAATACTAATGGTAGTTGATAACCTGCTTCATCTTTCAAGTTTTTGATTGTCCTTCTGAACACTGAGAACCTACTTATCTGTAGAAGTTACAGGGTCCAAGGTTTCAACATGGTCTTTGTCCTACTTGTTCCTTTTTTGATGAGTGTGGTCAATATGCCCTTGGATTGTTTCTAACAAATAGGTCATCAATGCCGCTCTCACACTGGCTGCTCGACCACAGAGCAAAGTTGCTCAGGACAACATGGACGTCTTCAAAGACCAGTGGGAGAAGCAGGTCCGAGTGCTGACAGAGGCGGTGGATGACATCACCTCAGTGGATGACTTCCTTTCTGTCTCAGGTAATCACAAACAGGCCCCTTACAAGGCAGCTGAAGGAGGAGAACAGGATGAGATAAGGAATATCTTGCAAATGTCGTGGGTCTGTGTTTCAAGTGCTCTTCTTGGCCCTTTGAGCTTTCAGTCATCTCTGCAAATGTGATTGTAACACCCTCTTGAAAATTCTTCTTTGGTGTGCCCATTATTTCAAGACACCAAGTCAAAGTATTAGGAGGGAAAAACAATTTTCTTATAAAGATGTCGGAAACCTGAACAGATTCTTTAAGGAGACAGGTTCCTTTTCAGTTACTGAAATTTTTTAAGCAGGATGGCCTTTGATGCATCTGAATCACCCATCTAAAAAAAAGGGTTTGGGGATATGAGATTTGTTAATCCTCATGGTTTACGTTTAAAAATCAAAAAAGCCATCAGTTATTCCAATTTGGCTATGTTCAGTGGGTCATTTTTCCAAGAGATGAAGTGACCCAGGTTTGTGATAAGCCAGATAGAAATATTAGCCACAGAATAAAACCATTTGGAGGCACTTGGGAGCTATTGAGGCTTTGAGCTCTTGTCTATGAGATTGTATAAGGAAGTGAGTGAAGGCAAATAGAACTAGTCATCACTTGAAATTGTAACTTTCTTCTTTGTAAATGAAGACAGACTGAAGGACGTTAATGTATTTGAATAACCGTGTAGTTAATTTGACCTTTCACAGGACTTATCAATGCTATTTCAAAACTGGGCAACTCACCAGCAAATGGGCCTTTTTGCAAACACATTTGACCAAACGCATTTGGCCCAGTTAACCTAGAAGAGTCTCTGTGGGAGGAGTGAGGGAGGAGGTCGCTGGAAACATCATCCTTCTTTGTGAGGCATTAAGATAATCAAGTGACCCGTGAAAATGTAAACTGTCCAGGTGTTGACTCTACCCACAGGTGTGTGGAACTTACACCTGCCGACTCAGGTGTGACCTAGCCTTGACTAGGACCTGCTTGTTCTTGGCCCACTGAGGCCTGAGAAGGAGGGGTCACAGCACTGCTGGTGGGATCCAGGCATTCAGGGCCTCTGACTAAAACAGTGTGGGAGGGCTTTCTGGGAGAGCCTTATTGTATTTGGAAAGTTTTTCTAGGTGTAGCCTTTCCTTTCCTTGAAAAACAGACAATGAATTCCCACTGGGGCTTATGTTTAAAGCTTGTATGAGAGCAGCATAGTCAAAGTCAAATCTGTCAAATTTGGATAATTAAAAAGCCAACTTTGAAACCATGGAGGGCAAGACAAGGCAGATGGGAAAAAGAGTGAACACGTGCTTGGTGTCTATATTTTGCCTGTCTCTGCTGTTTGCTTGAATTTGCACCAACATTCTATGAGATAGGTATTAGAATTCTGAGTCTTCCTTTGAGAAAACAAAGTTACTGAGAGGGTAGGTAACTTGGAAGAGATGGCATTAAAATCCAGATTATCCTCATTTCAGAAGCTACATGGTTCTCAGTAAGTCAAGGTAGAAGGGAACTTTCCTTTGGTGCTTCCAGCTTCCGTTACACTCCCTTCTCCCATCACTAGTATCTTCATTCCCTCTCTAATCCCTTTCAGACTTGTTTTCCATTCCCAAGGTGTTTGTCTTTGAGGACTTGTCAAAGTAGCTATTCTTTTAACCAGACGCGTATCTAGGGGTTGGCTGATAAAGAGCTCAATATGTTGCCATTCGTAGGATTTTTGCTTTGCTGATTGATGGCTGAGTCCTAACAGTGTAAGAATTATCTAAGAAATGCATCTCTCATAAGGTGCTTAGAAATTGTTTGGACAGGCATGTTGGGGATTTGGGCAGTGGGAATAGAAGGATGGCCACCAGAACGGAGCATCTTTCTAGTATCTAGTCAGTCTTTGCCAGGATTACTATAGGGGTCCCCAGAAAGGGGCAGTGGGACCAGCCACAGATTTCACACAGCAATCTTGATAGCCCCTGGAAATCTTACTCTGCCTCCCTTTCTATCTACAAATGAGTAGAAAATACCCATACAGTACCTTTTTCCAAGAGAAATCATTTCAGAATTTAAAACTTTCCCAACTTATCCTTTCCTTTAAATGCATGTACGAAACTTTCTGAGGATGGGCGAAAAGCAAGGTGAGGAGGTCTTTTCTCAGACTGTTTCAATAGTGCAAAGCTTTTCTTTTCTTCCACCAGCCCTGCCTCTTTGCCACCTTTCTCCTGCCATTCCTTTGTGCATCTCATTATTACCAGCAACAAGAAAAGGCTTTGGCTTCCGCTGATAACACTGTGCAGTCCAACCCCAGTGGTGCAAGTGCCACGGCATGCCATGACAGGAAAATGAACAGGCGCTGTCAATGAGCCAGCCTTGGCAGGGCCTGCTGGAGCCTGCCTTTGGAGTTGACAGTCGGGGGCGGCAGGCACCTTTCCACAGACGGGCTTGACAAATAATGACACAGCCCACTCTGTCCTGCTGGTAGGCTGTGGAGACAGCCCAATAGTTGGGGAAACTACTTCAGATCTCCTCTCTCAGCTGGAGCCAAAACATTTGCATCAGTAAATTGCAAGTTTGGCCCAGGACATATTTTGGAATGGCATTAATGACAATTTATGTATCAGTTTCTTCTTAAGGGAATATCTATTCTGACAGAAAACTCTATTTAAAAAACAACAAAAAAAGATCTTTGTTTTTAACGGACTATAGTATTTTTTCATGCCACCTGAACTTGTGTGTCTGAGTACTTAATGTGTATGTCTGAGTACTGCAAGTTTGGGGAGCAATGATGCTAGTTATTAAAATTACAAAAGTAAAACCAATTTTCAAATGTGGCCGGGGCTCATAAAAAAGTGAAATGGCTGTGTTAGAACACTTAAATTTTTCCCACTGGGCAAAAACTACATTTTTAATAGTGTTTTAAAATGAGGGTCTTGGCATTAACCATGTGACAGTTTAATTCTTAGGTTTGGCTCACAAAATAGCAGGCATCGAGGATCTGAAAAAGCTATTAACTCAATCCTATAATGTCCAAGATTTTGGTTTCCCTTTTCCTTCTTCTTCTTCTTCTTCTTTTTTTTTTTTTTTTTGACTCCAGGGTCTTAAGTTTGTTTCCTTTTAAAAATTCACGCAGTGATTTTTGTTTTTGAATTTAGAAACTATGGCTTTGAGGTTTATAATAATCAAGAAGTAGTTTGGTCATCAGTGATTTTTATAACAAAATTCCATCTTTTCTGAAATTGTAAGATTGTAAAAATTCAAGGAAGTTTATCACAAAATATGTTGCAGCCAAATGTTTTATGATATGTTTAAATACCATGCTTCATATCTGGGTGTAACATCCAAAGTACCTGGGTGGTTTTTCCCAGCACTAGAATCATCTCTGGAATATGTATGTTTTTTATTACTACTTTCTCTTCTATATTTTTTCTAGTTGGAACAGCATTCCTTTATCTCCTTACTTCATGAATTTTTTCTCTTGAAAATACCATAGGACAAAAATATGTAATTGATTATCTCTTTTCAATAGACATGTTTATTCAGTATTTCTTCTTTGATTGCCTGCTGTCAGAAATGCTAGTAGGAATCAAGTGTGGATTCTGCCTTCAAATAATTCATTGCTCTTCTTGATAGATCCTAGACCAGTGTGCTTGCAAATCTGGGGGCCCCAGACCTGAGAGGGCCGGGCATAGGAGGGGAGAAGTTATTACAAGGGGTCCGGGAATCCGTATATAAACCAAGTGTGGTCTTTTGATTAAATATGTCTATATGAACAAGTACAGTTCTTTTTCAAATGCATCATTGGTGCTTAGCTTAATAAAATGCAAATACATTTAAAAACATTCCAAATCATAGTAGCTTTTACACATATACTATCCACCAATATAACTACTATCATGAGGGAATTGTGATTCATTTTTCCATAAAAGGGGTACCCCTAATTGGGGAAGGTTTAGAAATGCTGAGTAAACTATCTTAACATTTCAAAAAAAAAGTTGATTCCAAAAAATTAGTCAATTAATAAATTGTAAAATTAGCAAAATTAATACTTTATTCACTCAACATGATTAACCTAACCATTGAACAAATCATTATTAGTTGATGATTTGACTAATTAAAAGCAATGTTTTTGATAACATGGATTTTCAGCCTCTCCTAGCCTTCTTCAAATATGTATAGTTGCATCTATAAAAGCATATTCTTTTTCTTACCTCTTAATTAAATTAGTTGCATATTTCTAGGTTGAGAAATAGGTTTTTTAAAAACACCTGTCATTTCATTTTAAGAAACTGGGTCATGAATGAGCTTGTTAGAATTTTTAAAACTTTTTATTAACTCCAGAGATATTAGAATCTAATATAATTAACAGATTCCTCTCTGTTCTGCATTTAAATCCAACATCCCGTCTTTAAACTGTGCACAGAAAAGCAATAGCTGTGCCTATTCTTTCGCGAGTATGTTATTCAAAGAAAATGGCAGCTGGAGGCATATTTTTGACATGAAGACCCTCCCAGTTACCCACTTTCAGGGACCAGGACACATTTTAATTGTCTGGAAGAATCCAGCAGACGGTATGAGAGGTCTATTTGAATCAAACTTTTGTATTTAAAATTCTGTACCAAGTTTCATTTGAGTAAACCTTTTTCTCAGGTGTCCTTTTAAGTGAGTTTGCATGATACAATTCAAGATCTCATAAAGGGGTGGTTTTCAGAAGTTTCTTAATCAAAACGAAAACTACTTAAGTCTATATTTGTACAACTGTTTTTCTGTTTTACTCAGGAAAATATCAGCATTCAGCAAGTACTACTTTTTGTGAGTTTAAGAATCTGAATATTAAAATTTAATTTCTTTTTTTCTGTTTTCATAGAAGCCTTTCATTTATTTTTCTATGTTAATATCTATTTGAAATTAAAGAACTAGAGAATGTAGAAATTTAAAATTTATGATGGTTTGAGTGAGGAAATCACGTTGTATGAGGTCAAAACAGGTGTTCCCTTATGAAAAGTAAGTTATACTTTGCAATTTTCTACCCAATGTCCTAAAAAAAAAAAATTTTCTCTCTGAGTGATTGGTGTAATGAAAGTAGAAGTGATCTAGGATGAAGACTGAGATTTGCTGAGTACCCTCCCTTCTCTCCTTCTTTGTGAATTTTAAAATCAGAACTAGCTCTAGAAACTTCTTAAAAAGGTAATCATTTATTTTAATCACTTATTAACTTCATTGAATTTGGCAGCTATAATTTTTAAAAGGTTGCCAGATTACTTAAGACTATTTCCAAATTTGTTCTATTTATCTATTTGGGGTGTGTGTGTGTGTGTGTGTGTGTGTGTGTATTTTCAGCTTAAGTTCTTTTCATTCCTCAAAGTGTTAAACTTTTGGAACATTTCTTTCTTTTTTTTTTTTTCTTTTTTTGTGAGGAAGATCAACCCTGAGCTAACATCCATGCCAATCCTCCTCTTTTTGCTGAGGAAGACTGGCCCTGGGCTAATATCCATGCCCATCTTCCTCTACTTTATGTGGGACGCCGCCACAGCATGGCCTGACAAGCAGTGTGTAGGTGCGTGCCCGGGATCCCAACCAGGCCACCTGCAGCGGAGTGCGCGCACTTAACTGCTATGCCATGGGGTTGGCCCTGGAACATTTCTTTAGAATTCTCTTTCTAAAGAATGTTCGAGGGACATAGTTACATATCTCACATTGAACATGGGACATGCAAAATTGCACACTTTCAAAACTCTAAGGGACCAGATCATGTGTTTTTTCTATGCTAGTAGAGAGTGAAGCCCCTCATCCTGCCTGCTTGGACTCCACTCTGGGCAAAGGCAGGAGAGTGATCACTGACCTTCAATCTAATCTAAGGGAACCAGCCACAAGACTGGATTGTATTGTAATTGTGGAGAACTCTGTGATAATCTTCACCTAATAAATTTTCCCATTGCATATACCTTGTGCATGACATGACATTAGAAGACTGGGTGATATTTGTTCATTCTATAGTTTCCCTTAAATGTTTCCTTAATAAAAATATGATCAAACATATACCCGAAGTGTGACTCTGATCACTTCTAGAAATGTTTCTGCTTGGTCAGGTTGACTTCGTGTTAGCTGCCACAACCACTCCTAAAAGATCTTTTCATGCAATAAATCTCAAACATTGAAACAAAGAAAGGAATATTCTTTAAGTCAGTGGTCCTCAAAGTGTGGTCCCCAAACCAGCAGCATTAGCATTGCCTGGGAACTTGGTAGAAATGCAATTTCTTGAGCCCCACCCTAGACCTTAGTGAATCAGAAACCCTAGGAATGGCACCCAGCAATCTGTATGATTCTACAAGTTCTCCAGTTGGTTGCTCAAATTTGAGAACCACTATTGTAATTGTAAACTATGTCCTTTAAATATCATTTCAGTGTTTTTAGGCATATATTGAGGTGCAAGATGACTGTTCATGATGGCTAATGAATCTTGGATTGGCTATTAAGTGAATGATGTAAAATCATATAAATGTGTATGTGTCTTCTCCACAGAAAATCACATATTGGAGGATGTGAACAAGTGTGTGATAGCCCTCCAAGAGGGGGATGTGGACACTCTGGACCGGACTGCAGGGGCCATCAGGGGCCGGGCAGCTCGAGTCATACACATCATCAATGCTGAGATGGAGAACTATGAAGCTGGTGTTTATACTGAGAAGGTGCTAGAAGCTACAAAATTGCTCTCTGAGACAGGTAAATGGGGATATTAGATTTGACCAAAATGTCAACACCATGATTAATTTCCATATTGGAATAAATCTATTTCATTGTTTTCTATTGGCCTGTATGCTTCTAAACTATACATGATCATAGAAGGGGTGCTTTCTTTGTTTCTTGAGTTTGAATTTGAATAACTTTAGCAGAATAACAATTTTATTGATTTGCATGTATATATATTACTGTATAGTTTTCATATATAATCTCATTTGATTCTCAAAAGGACCTTCTGAAGTGGGCAGAGAAATTTTTATCATCTCCAATTTCAAATACAAAAGTGGAGGTTTGAATCAGTTAAGAGACAGGAAAAGGGTTGCAAGGCTAGAAGATTAGTGGAGATGTGATTGGAACTTGCAATCGTGAGCTTGCAAGCCATTTCTCCATCTATTTCTTGAGAAGATAAGACCCTGAGGAAACATTATGACAACCAGGGGAAAGCATGAAGGCTCTAGGTAGTGCCTGCATATGAAGCATTCAAAGAAAGGAGATGGTGGCTGCTGAACAAGGAATAGACTTTCCATATATGCCCTGTCCTTCTAGGAAAGCCTTAAGTACCCTCCTCCAGTAGCGTGTGGCTTCCCACTGGGTAATAACTGCTGTGTAAGATATGCTTACTGATGGGAGCCTGCCATAGCTCTATGATGCATTGGGATGGAAGAAAGATTTACTTCCACTGACTGAGCAGAACAACCCGTAACTGAATAGTTGTATCAAAGACTGGCCTACTGTTAGTCGTTTTTGCTCTTGACTAGTGTCTCTTGGCTTCAGACCCTTTCTAAAGTCCTTTATGCCTTGTGTATTTGTATATATGGTGGTGGTGGGGTGAGAATAGAAACTTCAGGGAAGAAGAGAAGACAAAGGGATAGAAGAAGAGAATTTAACTGTATATTAGATGGGGTTATGAATGGGTAATGACTTGGGTCCTGCGTATGCACAGAAGGACCTCTCCTCAAACCCCAACCAGAGAAGGACCTCTCCAGTCTATACATGGACTTTGGAACCGACTAGGATTTTTAAAAATAGACATATCTCTGAAAGGTCAGATATAGCAGTGTTCCAAGTTCTGCATGATAAAACATGTTAGTAGAAATATGTTTCCTTCTACAGGGAAAAGGTCATTTACAGAGACTTCTGTAGATATTTGTTAGTCTGGAATGGCATGGAAAAACAACAGATAAACAGAGACATCGGGTATTCTCTCTGAAATATAAGCAGAAAGGTAATAGTGTAATTCATATAATAAAGAGCACATCCAAGGACTGTTGCTCTTGAGAATCTTCACAGACTTACAATTAGAAATAATAATAATAATGATAATGATAATAAAATATATCCACATTTTAATTAGCTGAAATTGAGTACTGTTTTCTTTCAAGTAGGCCTGCCCTTTGCATTCAGTAGAGCAACACAAAGGAAGCATACAGTATTTCTTTCCTTACTTGGAAGAATTAGAAACAGGTATTTTACTCTCCAATTTAAGGAACTTTTTTTACCCTTAAGGGGAGCTTCTCACATTTCTGGGGCTCTCAGTTCCTTGCCCATTAGCTCTATTCTGTGACAAAGTCTCAGCATCATGTTATGTATCTGACACATAGCAGCATTCCCTTGGGTCTGACACTGGGTAAAGAGTAGCAGAGAAGGGTGGAAGACATGGAGACAGGACTCACAGCTCAGGCCGGCTCATGACTGCTCCCAATGATAATTGTAGCAGATGAAGGATACAGAGCATATTGCCAATTTGCATGTGACTTTGTGCACACAAAGACTTCAGGCATTGTTCAAGAGACATTTTGGAGTTTTTTTCTTATTGTATCTTGAGCTGCTTTAATGAACAGAAGGAGTGGTGCCCTTTGGGTCACAATCTACTCAAATTTGCAAGGACAGCATGCTCAGTTGATTGAAATATTTTTGCATAATTTTCACCGAAGTCCTGAAATGTAAATAATTTTATGGGTTTTTTTAGCTAAAAAAAAAAAAAATCAATGGAACAGAGCACTCCATCCTGGATTATTGTTGCTAATCAAGATTTTGCTCTTATTTGTTAATTGTCAGAGCTTTTAAAATTCTCGTCTCAGCCCTTCCTTACAGTGATTGAATACTCTGGAGACTTAACTAAAGGTACCTTCCTGATTCTGATGTCCACATCCAATTCTTAATTGAACTGAGATGAGCAAGACATTTAGATTCTTTCTATTTTTCGGGATCTATTGAAGATAACTAGGAAAGTAGCCAGGTAGAAAAGATTGGAATAGTTTATACACAACTGTAGTAGAAAATACAAGAATACATGTCAAGAAAAAGTGGATATTAGTGGGCTAAGAACTAGAATATACATGGTATATAAATTATTTTTCTTCTGTCTCAATTGTTCTTCTCTTTCCTAAACAGGAACAATATTGTTTATGAGTAACTAAAGAAGTTGTCAAAGAAATGAAAGCAAAAACATTAATTATTAACTCACTCATTGCTAGTTAGAATTGTTGGGAAAGTGTACTAGACACATGAAGTTGCAGGAAGACCATACGATCAGTTCCATGATTATGGTTGTGCAGAGTTTTGTTGGTTATATATATTTTCTAAAATTAATTAGTCCTCTTGTCAGTGTCTGGCTGTGCTAAGGAGATATAGAACCTCAAAATAAAAACTCCTATGCATATCACTAATGCCCAAGTATCAACCTTTGGGCTGACATTATATTCCTGATTCTAAAAAAATCTTAAAGCAACATTGAATTGGTCACTTTTTTTAACATAAGCTTATCAAACTTTGTCCTGAGAGTACGTTTAATTTTGGGGACAGAACACAGAGGCAGTGGGCAAGGAGGGGAAGGTACCAAGAGGAAGAATAAAGGAAATAAAAAGGAGTCCAGGACATGGAAGACAAAATGTCATGTTCTCTTTTGCCTTGACACAACCTACCAAGTTCTGCCCAGTTTTATATCTGAGTTGTTAGATTCAAGACCCTAAGGCAGAAGTTCTCAACCTCTGTCCTATTGACATTTTAGCCTGAGTAAATCATTCTTGGGGGAGGGGAGCTGCCCCATGCATTATAGGATGCTTAGCAACATCCCTGGCTTCTACCCACAGGATGCTTGTAAGACCTCTTCTCTCCCCCACCCCAGGTTGTGACAACAAAAAGTGTCTCCAGACATTGCCAGATGTCCTTAGGGGGTAGGCAAAATAACCTCCGTTGAAAATAACTTTCCTAAGAGGAAAAAATATTCCAAAATAGGGGCAAGTTTAAACAAGGCACAATGGAGGGAGCCTATGTACTCTGGCCATAGAGTGTGGTGAAGGGAGTGGAGTCAGAGTATATTACAAAGAAGAATGTGAAGAAGGGAGGAATGCTCAAAAAGTCTTGATTAGAGAGACTTTGCTGCAAAAAGGGTTTGCAAACACAGGCCAGCCCCTGTTTAGACATGTAAATGATGCAGGGGTGGGTCTCTGTAGAGAGACTTTACCACCTGACAGCCTTCGCTGAGGGGCAGGAAATTGAAGGAGATCCAAAGACTGACCAAACAGTCTGTAGTTTATTTTCTATGAATTATTTTACTTCCTCAGTAAAGATCGTGTTTTGTTGAAGAATGCTTTCTATGTTGATGTGAATGCTGAGTTAAATTCGAGAAAATAACTTTGTGGATTATGCTAAAATTCTAGGGCAACAGTATATAAAAATTACCTATTTTTTTATAAACTAATCTAGGGTGATAAAAACACAATAAACTCGATCTACATCAGATCCATTTAATACTTACATATTTGGGCTCTTCAATAAAACCTGAAATGCCCACAGATTGCCAACAGCTTGGTAGTAAGTGCATGCTTGGCCAGACCCATCTTTTTTGAGATCTCATTTACCAAGTCGGCTTGTTGCAGAGGGTTGAGGGGGATGAAAGTACGTTTAGTGATATCATATTTAGATATATATAGAGAGAGTAGCTCATTCTTCACTGAACGGATCATATTGAAATGTCATTCTTGTAAATTTGATAGCTGATGCAAATTTGTGGCAATATGAACCTGATCAGGTTGAGAGATCTTAGAGATTCTGCCAACAGGTCCTTCTTCAGAGGGGACAAAAAAAAGAAGTAGAAAAAATAAAGTATTTTTAATGAGGATTCTATGTTATTGAGCACTCTGTATGCAGAGATTAAAATTCCATTATTTTGAAGAATACATGGGTCAAACAGATGGTATAATTTTTTTATTAAGACTTTATTTTTTTAGGACAGTTTGATATTCACAGCAAAATTGAGAGGAAGGTACAGAGACTTCTCATATACTCCTTGACTCCACACACGCATGGCATCCCCCATTATCAACATCTCCTATCTGAGTGTTACATTTGTTACAATTGATGAACCTACATTGATACATCATTATCACCCAAAGTCCATAGCTTACATTAGGGTTCACTCTTGGTGTTGTACATTCTATGGGTTTGGACTAATGTTTAATGAATGTATCCATCATTGTGGTATCATACAGTGTAGTTTTCACTGCCCTAAAAATCCTCTGCATTCCGTCTATTCATCCCTCTCCCCCTCCTAACCCCCGGCAACCACTTATCTTTTTACTGTCTCCATAGTTTTGCCATTTCTAGAATGCCATATAGTTGGAATTATAAAGTATGTAGCCTTTTCAGTCTAGAATGTCATATGGTTGGAATTATAAAGTATGTAGCCTTTTCAGATTGTCTTCTGTCACTTAGTAGAGGTGATATAATTTTTCCTTTCATGCTTCTGTAATGTAAAGTTTTCATAAAAACAAGATATTTTTTAAACGTTATTTCTATATATTTTGCCTAGAAAATGTAAGAGGATTAGCAAGTGGAAAGCACCCAAACTAGAAATAGTAATGAAGGGTACCGTTGAATTAGTACAATGTAGTAGAATGAATCCGGGTTAGAAATCAGAAGAACTCATTCCTTTACTTCTACCAACTAACTGTGACCTTACACATATTTGTTAATGCCTC